TTTGCTTCTCCACAGCACCCTTCCCTTTCCTGGGCTCTTGCTCGTGCTTGCTCACTCTCAAATTAATAAATACAACCTTCAAATCATCTGGTGGGGTAGGTGGTAGTGGTGAGCTGGCTGGTCATCTCAAACCAGAAATACAGAAATGCTTCTTAAAACTTTAAAGAACATCGGATGGGTTTCGTGTCACTTAAGCATTGTGAGAAAACAAGAAAATTATGAAAACACATTGGGAAACAAATACCAGGGTTCAGCCTCTGTGGCTTCTCTGGATGAGGCCGAAAGCCCTTGGACGGGAATAACCCGGATTCCACTGAGCATGTATCATGGGAAGATCGGCAATACCACTGTTTTACTCATCTAGCTATTTTTTAAGAATTCAATGTCATAGGGCTGCCCACACAAGCTGACCAGAAACTCGGTGTGCTATAGTCATTGGCGATGGCGGAAACCCTATCAGGTCCCAGCAGTCTGTGAGGCTGGAGGTTATTCCCACACTTCCGAGCGGTGGGCATGATAACTAACTACTGTGGCCCCTCTCCAGGAACCACCAAAATCAGCCCAGGATTGCATTACACTGCTGGGAAGTTACACAGAATCGATTCATTCATGAGTAGTCTAGTCATGATTAAACATTTAACAGCCATTCACGGAGAGATTCTCAGGGACCTATCTAGCCAACATGTAGCAATTCACTGCACATTTATTGAGCCCCTATGACATGTCAGATAGAAGACAGGGATAGAGAAACTGTAAACAGCAAAGCTAGAGTCTGCCAGACTCTGGTCCTATTACTGTTAGGTGTGATACCTCCCAGAAGTTCATCTGGCTTTTGAAGCTTCAGCCTCACCATCTATCAAATAAGGGTAATGGTGGACCTACCTCAGAGGCTTGCTCAGCTTAGCTTATTATATATACATCAACATTCAATAAACGTCACTTCCTCTGAGAGGTGTTCCACTTAGCACCCCATCAGATTGTATTAGATCCCACTTTGTAAGCTTTCTAATTTCTAAATTATAAGTACCTTCTGGCTTGGAGATCTGAGTAATGTCCATCTCTCCAATCTCTCAGGCAGAGATTCTGTATGACTTGTCTAATATCCTCATAAGCTCCAGAACAGTATCATGTAACAGGTGCTCAATAGGGGCACCAGGGTGGCTCAACGGTTGAGTGTCTGCCTTTGGCTAGGGTAGTTATCCCGGGGTCCTGGGATGGAGTCTTGCATTGGGCTCCCTGCAGGATGCCTGCTTCTCCCTCTGCCTATGTCTCTGCCTCTCTCTCCGAGTCTCTCATGAATAAATAAATAAAATCTTAAAAACAAAACAGGCGCTCAATAAATATTTGTTGAATAAGCTATGGTGAATATAGCTTATAATACAAATGCATAATATATAAAGATAAAAGACACAGCAGCACCTCTCATCAAGTGGTTCATGGGCTAGTAGTTTTCAGTTTTAGCTGCACATCACCTGGGGAGTAATTTTATTCTAACCCCAATACCCAGCAGGCCTTACTCTAGAACAACTCCTGGCAGTGGGCCTGAGGGACCCTGTGTTTGTGTTTTAAGTGTTCTTAGGTAATTCTAACGAAAAGGGTTGATACTTTCTGGTCTAATGCCAGAGAGACCAGTCAACAGTTATAATACAATGGGATATATGTTCTCATTCAGCTGCAAAACAATTTCCTGTGATGATGGAAATGCCCTAGGTCTCTACTAATACCATAGCTGCCAGTCACATGTGGCTACTGAGCACTCAAAATGTGGTTGAGACTGGAGGACCTGAATTTTAAATCTTATTTGATTTTAATTCATTTAAATTAGAAAGCCATATGTGACTAGAAGCTACTCTATTAGATAGTAGATACCTAAGGCAAAGTACACAGGAGATCCCCTAATCCTGCTAGAGGTGGGACTGGCCAACACGCAGCTAGCTGTGGCCCCCATCTACCAGGCAAGAACAATCCCATGGAGGAAAAGGCAACCAAACTGCACACATTACTTGAACTCTTGACCTTACTTACACACATGTAGGGACAACCTCTCCCTCCTGTCCATATCCAGGACAGCTGTGATCAAGGAAGCCCTTTAAAGAGCAAGATGAAGCATAAGAGACTTTGTGTAAGCAGCTGAATAATACGACTGTGGGCACCATGGTACGTGGAGGGGGGTGAGTCTTGAGCAAGGACACTGGGGGAACAAAGGAGTTACGTGGAGCCCCCAGCAGAGTAAATATGTCAGCAACTCACAGCTGCAAATCAGAGGTCTCGCTTCTGTGGCTCACAAGCTGAGAGCCTCAAGCATAAACCATAACATTACAGAGAACTGACACTTAGTCCTAAGGCAGATAATGGCTCATTAAGCTCTTTAGAAAATTGGGCTGGTCCAATGTGATCTGTAGAAGACTGAATTAATACAGGGAAGGAAACCATGCCACTATCTAGTGGTCATTCTTCCCATGTGTGAAGCACTTGTCATATGACAGGAAGTTTGTTAGGTGGCCTTAAATATTACCTCGTTTTATCCAGATGAAACTCTGCAAATTAGATATTATTTTCTCATTTTGTGGTGAGGCAATTTAAGATTTATGGAAGTTAAGAAATTTACTTAACTTTAACATGTAGTGATAAAGGTAGTGATCTATGCTACCTGAGTTGCTGTTTCATAAAAAACTGTACTTTATTCTATTAAATAGATATATCATTATTTATTTTAAAAATCCCCATTTGTTGCTTGTTTTTCCAAAACGGACCCAGATGATCACAATCAATGCTTCAATAAACCTACTTGTATATAAATCTTATTTACACTATCAGTGATGCATAATATACCTGCATCCATATTAAAAAGTACATAAATCTTAAGAGTAACATTCGATGAATTATCAAAAAAATGAACTAACTACGTAATCATCCCCAAATCAAGAAGCAGAACAGTACCAGCACCTCAGAAGCATCTCTACATGCCACCTCTTAGTTATTCGCTAGCCCCCATCCACCTCTCCCTAAATAGCAAATATCTGAAAAGGGACTACTGTATTTGGGGAGTAAATCAGAATGAAGCTAAGGTAGAAATTATATAATTTAGGTCAAGGCTTAAAACATTATTACATAACTAGATCATCATCTACTTATCTATCTTAATTAGGAGTTAGTGGGTTCTTGAATATAAAGAAATTAGAGGTATTAAGGAACCAGGATACAGAATATATTAACAATTAGGCCCAAGGGTTTTGAAAAAGACAAGAGACAATTAGGTTTCCAGCTCACTGACACTACTGATTCCCAGGTCTGATAAGGAGGGAAGGGCCATAGAGCATCTGACGGTTGAGTTTTCCCTTTCTCAGTGTTCAACATGACAATTATGAGTACGACTATAAATAAAATAAAATATGAATGTATGGCATTTACTGAACTCCCTGTATAGATATTCGCTCATTATGTCCCTTCACTAGCCCTGTAATACCACAATCTCTTTTTTACAGCGAAGACGAAGATTCAAAAAAAAAAAAAAAAGCTCGTTACTTCTAACCATCTTAAGGTCACACTGTTAGTACAGGGCAGGGTGAGGGTACAAATCCACACTGGTGCAACTTCAAAGCCTGTGCCCTTTCCAGTAGACTCTCGTTGCCATTCCCCTCGGGGTTTGTTATGCTCCAGACAACTGATTTCTCAGACCTTATCTCTGGGTAAGCAAGCTGGTAACCAGGGTCATGATAACAAAAGAGGTGAGTCAGAGACCTTGAAACCCATTTTACATTTCCAAGCCTCTCCTCTCCCTCCCTGGGGCGATGGAACCTACGCTTTCTTGTGGTTAGTCATTGTTTATCTTAACTAGGTTTACTTCTTCTTATCCCCGGACAACATACTTTTGTTGCCAATATGACAAAGTCACCAGACCCAGCTAAAACATTTAGTGACACAGGTTACTGGGTACGCCTTCAGCCACTGGATAGACTTCGGTTTGTAGGGGTGTCCAGGCTTCAGTTCACCCCATCCCCTCTCTCACCCCACACCCGGCACCAATACTGATTTCCAAATGTTACAGGTACCTGCAGAAGGGAAGATCCTTGTGTGCTTCACTGAGGCCTTGAAATTAAAGACTGGCCACCAACTCCACATGAGATGCTGAGTATCTCCCAGGTCACTTGTAGCAAAATTCCCTGTTAGGTCTGCTAAGTTTTTAAATGTATACTAAGGGCAGCCTGGGTGGCTCAGCGGTTTAGCGCTGCCTTTGGCCCGGGGCCTGATCCTGGAGATCCAGGATCGAGTCCCACGTTGGGCTCCCCCCATGGAGCCTGCTTTTCTCTCTCTGCCTGTGTCTCTGCCTCTCTCTCTCTCTCATGAATAAATAAAATCTTTAAAAAAATAAAATAAAAATAAATGTATACTAAAACCCACTGCAGGGGTGCCTGGGTGGCTCAGGTGGTTCAGTTTCTACCTTAGGCTTGGGTCATGATCTCAGGGTCTTCGGATGGAGCCCCACATCAGGGTCCCTGCTCAGTGGGGAGTCTGCTTCTCCCACTACTCCCCTGCTTGTGCTCTCTCTTGCTCTCTCTCAAATAAATAAGTCAGGGACTCCTGGGTGGCTCAGTGGATAAGTGTCTGCCTTTGGCTCAGGTCATGATCCCAGGGTCCCAGGATTGAGTTCCGCATCAGGCTCCCTGCAGGAAGCTTGCTTCTCCTTCGGCCTATGTCTCTGCCTCTCAGTGTGTCTCTCATGAATAAATAAATAAAATCTTGAAAAAAGAAAAAAAGTCAAAACATTTTTTTCTTTTAAATAAAACCCCTTGCAACTCAGGTTCCTTAATTGTTTTACTTTGGAAACATAACTGGTGCAGACTGAGAAGAAACAGAAAAAAGAGAAAAGCTAAATTTCTTTGACTTACTTGTTTTTCCTTTTGTATCAAGTCCCCTATAAACATAGCATCTTACACATAACAGAGAAAAACTGTAGACATTATATATAATTCATGCTGTCTGCTCTGGTAAGTACTTACCTTGACCGGAATTATATATTGCTTTTACAGACTTCTTCACTTTCTGCAAGGCTGTTCTATCTTGGTCTAGAGCCTAAAAGATAAAAACGAGGGGGAAAAAAGATGTTGGAAAACTTGGCAAATGAAAACTCATTCGTGATGGCATTTGTTTTGCTGAGTTACCACAGTGATAGCAAGCTGACATATTTATGAACAGTGAACCATCTCTGAGACTAGAAGTACCCAGGATCCGAGGAGTCCTGTTCGGAGGGTAAATGCAGAGCTGTTCTACAAAGCTCAGTGTTGGGTGAAGCTGACAACATGGTGGTCAGTCAGTTATCACCCCAAGCTCTGCACGGGAAAGAAAATACAGGACACTTAAGATACTTGCTTCTTTCATTCAAGAGAGGTTGGTACCCAGGAAGGGACATATGTCAGCGTGAGATGTGAATGACACATATCCAAGGAACCTTCGAACACATCTTATCACCTGATGGCAATTTCAGCTAGGAAGAAAACATTTAAAAGGGTGTAATGAGAGTGACCTGAGGATTTCTTTTAGTATCAAAAAAAATTATGACATAAGGCCAGCTGTATTTTAAAATTCTGTTTACTGAAAAAGGACAGCATGGAAAACGCTACCAGGATGCTGGTAATGCTTTTAAATGAGTTCTTAGATGGAGAATAAACACATCTACATCAATCTTGTGCTATAAGTTAGGGGAGGACCTAGGGGACTGTCACTGTTGATTCTTAATCCAGGGGCTGGATATACAATTGTGCTCTGTTTGTGAGGACTGTGCACTTAGGATTTGTACTCTTTGCATAATGCGCATTTTAATTCGAAATCAAATTTAAAAAGGGTTGTATTCAGTATAGATATACACATGGTACACTGGCCAAACTTCTTTAAACTCCTCTCTGCTTCCCGGAGGGTCAACTATCCAGAGACTGGGAACCCCCTGGTTGGGGTGTCAAGACTGGAGGGCACGTGCAGTAACAGCAGTAATAAATGAACTTATTGATATAAAATTTAAGATCAATTACACTCACACTCATGACATCATCTAAACCTCAGAACTGCAGAGGAGAAGATGGAAGGCCACTGAGGGTAAGTCCCACCCCTGAGTCACAGAAGACATGAGAGGGTAAATGCACTGGCAGCCGGCAAGGGTCACTCCCTTGTCCTGTAAGATGGTCTTTCCTGCCACTCTAATCCTGTGCCTCAACTGGCCGCTTGCCCTTTTTCCTTGGCTCCAGTTGTGAACTATGGCTGGCAGGGTGGTCACCTGACCCATGCTGGGCTCTGGCTCCTCACAGGACTTCTGGGCTTGGGGACTGGGACTGCAAGGTGTAGATCCTTTATGGGGAGGTGAACCTGGGGCCTACCATGGGTTCTGTTTCCAGCTATGTGGAACAATCTGGCCAGAGAGAATGGGAACACACATGCAGCACCAGACACAAGAGTGCAGAAGGTCCTGGTGGCATCGGAGTCCTGATTTCCAGCTGCACCCACGGCACACAGGTCACTAAGCTTCCTGTAGACTGAGTACACCAGGCAATACATTCCTCTTGCCCCAAGCTGGCTGCAGTGGGGGTTATATCACTTAAGACACACATCCTGAGTAACACAAGAATAAAGCTGCCCCAGCACCTGCTACACCAGGCATAAGCTTGCTAGAGCAGAAGTACCAAGGAGGCAAGATACATATGCTTTGACTTTCTTGTCTCTTTGCATTCCTTCTTCACAAAAACCTCATAAAGCAGCAACTACATGTTTAAGATAAGGAAATGTGATAGGCTTTCAATAAATATTTGTAGAAAGGGAAGTAGGCAGGGAGGGAAAGATTAATTAAGTTGTCTGAAGTCAGAGAGCCAGACGGTGCTGAAGTCACATCTCACACTAATGTCTATCGAATCTCAAATTTAACAAACACTGGGGTGAAAGCCGGGGTTTTGGAACTGCAAGTGCGACATGGTGTCCACCACGCCCACCGCTTAAAATCCACCTGCACACGTCTGTCACAGCCATGTCCCACATGCACTTCTGTTTAATATTTTTCTTTAGGGGCACCTGAGTGGCTCAGTCGGTTAAGCATCTGCCTTCAGCTCAGGTCATGATCTGAGGGTCCTGGGATTGAGCCCCACAGCAGGCTCTCTGCTCAGTGGGAAGTCTGCTTCTCCCCGTGCCCCTCCCCCTGCTGTGTTTTCTCTGTCAAATAAAGAAACAAAATCTTTAAAAATATGTATTTTTCTTTAAACCCATTCACCAAAATAAATAAATAAATAAATAAATAAATAAATAAATAAATAAATAAATAAATAAATAAACAAACCCATTCACATCTGCTACATTGTCCAGAACTGTTCTAAGTGGAAAACCAGGACCATTTACCAATAACAGAAGATACCCTAAAAATCACTGTGTATCTCTAACCATATAAAATGCTCATCTGGTTAGTACCCATGACCATCTCATCTAACACTGATACTGTATGCCACGCTTAACGAACGAAACAGTGTTTTACGAGACAGCTTCATGAGAGACAAAGTTTGAGTTACTTCAAAGAGTTGAGATTTGTACTCTAGAGGAAAGAAGGAAGAGAACTACCATTTTAATAAATGCTTAGTATGGCATAAAGGGTGCTGAGGTTTATACAGACTGCCTCATGTAATGCTCATGAAAACTCTGTGACAGAAGAACTGTTACTAAATTCATTTTATAGATGAGGCAAATAGAGGCTTAGAAAGTTCAGCTTGCCCAAGACAGCAGAGCAGGACTCTGAACAACAGAACCTGACGTCCTAACTGCTACCCAGTTCTGCATTCCTGTGATGTGTGTGAAGAACTGGATCTAAAAATAGAGCCTCATCTTAATGGGGTTGGAGTGTGTGAGTGTGTGTGTGGGCAGGGTGTCCACCCACCACCTGTTTTCAGAGACAAATCTGAGTTAAGAAATTAGAAGCCATTTAGGGTGTTAGCAGTATTCAAGGGAAAGAAAGTAATGCAAATGAAGTGCAAGTAAGCATTCATTTAAGAGACTGAATCTAATGGGTTTATCTTTTGATGAATTGCTTTTGTGGGAAGGAGATTTAAAAAACAATCCCAACAATAGCTACCCTTTATTTTGTTTTCTATCCATATTCTTGCCATCTTTTTTTTTTTTTTTGGCGAAAAACCTCCAGCTTTTGAGAAGTAAAACAGCTTGCTTGCCAAGTGGCACACATCAAGTAAGAGAAGAACCGGCCTATGCTTTTTCAACCACATCACCTACCCACAGTAGCATGAATGTGTGCCCGAGTTCCCTCTGCATCTTACCATTTCTTAATTATTTCTGAGAAAGGGAAAAAGAAAAAAAAAAAAAGACATTCTGGGAGAAAAGAACCTATCCGTTCAGCCTTGAGGAATGATGACCACATAAAGATGTCTCTACTCAGAGAGAAATTAATGAGTGGGTTTGAATGTACTTGCACAGAGAGTTCATGAGTCCAAAGGAGTAAAGGGATGTAGAAGATTCCAGCCATAACATTTTATGAGACTAGCTATCTGCTTCCTTTCCCCTCCCCCCCCTTTGGGAAAAGTCTCAGAATATGTTGAATTTTTACCAATCTGTCTATAAACTAACAGGGTGTAAAGTTCACGTTCGTACTTTTAAAGGTTATTAATAACATTCGCATTCGACAGCTACAGACACAGTTAGGTCTGGGTAACACTTCTCTTTTTCCGCTCTAGCATTTGGCCACTGGCAAAAAGCAGCCTAGTGAAATGTACTTTTACAGGCCCCATGTTTAAGAGAACCAGGGGACACTGCTGTTCAGACAGGGCTGCCCTCCAGAATAACCCATGTCTAAACGTGGTACAAAGTGCCATTCCCTCAACTGCCAGACAAGTAACACCTGCAATGACATCCTTTCGAATGTCATATGCATAAAATTAAATAAAGGCTAAGAGGAAAGGGGGAGAGGATACAGGCTATGAAATGATTATATTTCCCAATGTTAGTATATGGACTAAGTATGCATCTTCAGTCCATATACTTGCATTTTTTTGAATTTTTTAAAAAAGATTTACTTATTTATTTATGAGAGAGAGAGAGAGAGAGAGAGAGAGAGGCAGAGACACAGGAGGAGGGAGAAGCAGGCTCCATGCCGGGAGCCCGATGCGGAACTCGATCCCGGGACTCCCGGATCGTGCCCTGGGACAAAGGCAGGCGCCAAATGGCTGAGCCACCCAGGGACCCCCGAATTTTTTGAATTGTTAAACAATTCAAAAGGTACATGTGGTGGAGGGGGAGGGAGGATGAACCAACAAACGAATCCAGGAGAACATGCTGATCTCTAATCATAGAATAGCACTCTCCCTATCCTAAATTCTGTAATACAGCAACTTTGCATTTTCTACCTTACTAAGGAGCCAGGGCTTTAATATAGAAAAGCATTTCTGACCTGGATATGGAGACTCTTCATTGTTATTTCATGCACAGTCCTAACAAGTCTGGTCATCTGAACAGGAAGACACATGCTGTTGCCAAGTTGGGAGAAAAGCCATGCCAATGTAGGCCTTACATGAGAGCCGGCAATCAGAGGGATTCAGAAGCATTATGCAAATGAGACGTAAGAATGCAAACTTCCCCAAGAGTCTGAGGTCACTCAGGGTAGGACATGGAACCTTTTCCTACCAGTCCAGGACAGGTGGCATCCCTCAGAGATGCACAGGGATCCAACTGTGCTTCTTGCCAGCTCAGGGTATCTGCATGAGCTGACCTCTTTGCCTGAATGCTCTTCCCTATGTGCTACCCATGGCTGACTTTCTTCTTACATAGGCCTCAGATTAAAAGCCCCTTCCTCCCAGGGCCCTTTTCTGGTCAACCTGAAGCAGTGCTCGCCCTCAGCCGCCTGGTTACTCTCTCCTACACTTTCATGCTGGCTTTTCCACTGCACTACCACACCCTGAAATGATCCCATTAATGACTTGTTTATCTTTATTGTATTTATCTCCCTGCACAATACCTCTATGAAAGGCCTGTATAACCTGTTCATGGCTAAATGCTCATTCCCAGGGCCCAGCAGATGGCAGATGCTCAAAAATGCTTAT